TGTTTGCGCTAAAACTAGACAGGTAGTATGTAGGCCAACTTAAAGATGAGGTGGATGTTGAGGGTGAGGACCCTCAGTATGTAAGAGCAATCGGTAAATAAATGGACATGCATACAGAAGACAAATGTACGTGGTTCACCCGAATAATGGGCTACGTCCACAGAGAAGTATGTTCTCATTATAATAATGTGTGTATACATTGTACATAGGGTTAGACCCAAGGGGAAGAGGAAGAATACCGAAGGCCGAAGGCAGATGGCCGAAGGCTGAGGGCAGATGCCGAAGGCTGAAGGCAGATGCCGAAGGCTGCTGGCCGAAGGCTGATGGCCGAAGGCAGATGATCTGGCTGATGGCCGATGATTCGTGGGCTTGTAAATGGACTCATGGGTAAGCCCATGAGGCCCTAGTAGCCTGCCCAACCTCTTTCTTCCTCTCTCTTCCTCCCCCTCCTTTGAAGGAGAGGGGTCTTCTTTTATAGGAAAGGGAGAGTCCCCTTCTCTTGTGTTTTGTCGATGTGGGACTCCATTCCCTTTGCTTGGATTAGCTTGGAAATGCTTGGCCAAATATTGTACAAACAATTTTAATTACTTTTATTAGTAAGTATGTTTTAATTATTATTTCTTTAGTGAACAATTAGTATTAAATATTTTAATTAAATTCATAAATTATATTACTTAATAAATAGTAATTATTATGTTTTAATATTTTTTGGACTTAAATTTTCATAGGGATAAATTTTTTTCTTTTTTGGAATAGCTAATTAATTAATATTTTTAATTTAATAATATCTTAGTCTTATTTAATCAATATAATTACTAATTAGCTTTTAGTTATTATTTGTTTCATAAATTACTTATCAAATAGTAATTAATTTTTATGAATTATTTTGTGCTCTTAAAAACACATTTTGTGCTCTTAAAAACACAAGAAAGTGGTTGCAACATAGTAAGTATATATCACAAAAGAACCAACACATACATATAGTATACTTGATTTGCTTATGAACTTAGTTCTTGATTGACTGGTTTGTAGTGGTTACATGTCCTCAAAATACGCAATTGATGAGTTCTACTCGATAAAATCCGATGTCTACAGTTTTGGTGGGTTGGTGCTTGAGATAGTGAATGGGAAGAGAAACATAGGATTTACTCATTGTTTTTTTTTTTCTTCCTCTTTTAAGTAAGCACAATGATTTTGAACTCTTGATAAATTCTTTTAGGCATGGATGCTATACACAAAAGGCTGGTCCATTGAAGTGCTTGATACATCAATAGGGGACTCAGGTGATCCACATGAGGTTGTTGTGAGATTATTTCATGCATGTAGCTCTTTAATGTGTGCATCGTAACCAGGTAGATAGACCGAGCATGCCAATTACAGTTCTAATGCTAAGTGGTGAAGGGTAATTGCCTCAATATCAAAAACCTTGTTCTTATAGTGAAAGGGATCTCAATGAACTCGAAGTTGGTCATTCTTTTAAAGCATTTTCAACAAATGAACGCAAGTGCTTCATATTTGGGGCAAATATTCATGAAGTTCCCAAATTGCGTAAGGAATGATGTCCTAAAATGCCATTTGCAATGTGCACGTGTTATAAGGTATGCAATTAGAGTCACTTCAATCATATTCACTTAGCCAATTAGTGATAAGGGAAACCAGTCCAGAATTTTCAGATTCTTTAAGCATGTGTTGTGTCTTTTTTAACCATTATGTGTGGTCCGAGATGGCTATTTCGACTTTAAAGACTATTTTGAATCTCTATGTGATACTGTGGACTGTGGTAAAGACTTCTATTTGCTTGGTTTTGATTTTGAAAGCTATTTAGAGGCTCAAGTAATTATTTCTGTTTACTTGGCGGTCCCAACCCAAAGCATATATATGTAGTCTGAGTTTGGTGTTGTATAACTTACTGAGAAGACTTGGGGAACTGAACCATGCATATTCCCTTTTGATGGCTAGCTCACCCTTACCCTCACCCTCATCCATACACACTAGTAGCAACATTTTACATATATGAATCAACGGTCAATAAGCTTTCCAATAACATATTTGTTCTAGATTATCAACTGTGAGCCTGTGGCAATGAAAGGGTACTAAAGGGTTTAAGCTGTATAGGCTGTATACCTATCGCCTCAAGTAAAGACTTTAAGATGTAGATTTCACGTTTACATAAACAACCAAGAGCATCTTCAGGAGACTCTCTACTCTCTCATCCCTAGCTATTTTAGGGAAAAAGAAGGAAAAACAATGCTTCAGCAGCGTCGCTACCTCTCTCGCCATTTTGGCTTGCGACATCTAGCAAGGAGGAGAGGAGAAATTCAAGGCTCACCAAATTTGAAAGCTGCCCAAGAGAGAGAGAGAAAATAAATAGCTGGAAGCTGCGCCAGAGAGAGAGAGAGAGAGAGAGAGAAAATAAATAGCTGGAAGCTGCGCCAGAGAGAGAGAGAGAGAGAGAGAGAGAGAGAAAGAGAGAGAGAAGAAAAAGAAAGGTTCGGTGGTGGGCTACTTTTCATTTTGGGTTTTTTTAAATTTTTTTTTAATGAATTTAAAATAATAAAATATTTGAGGTTAGCTAAAATAGGGAGCATTGCTGGAGGAACCACCTTTTAAGTGATTAGCTATTTTAGCTAGAATTTGGGTAAAATTTGGAGACTCTTGGGGATGCTCTAATAGAGTATCCAAATGTCAAACTTGGCGATTGTATGCTCCCATACTGTGAATGTTGTTTCCAAAGTACATTGAGAATTGCTAAAAGCAAAATTATTTAATATTTTAAACGTATATCCGCACGGCTATACTCTCTAAATACATTCAAATATTTTAAAAGTATAGCCGCGCGGATTGATATATCTCATAAGAGAACAGTAGGGTTGTCAAGTGCAATGAGAAAACGGCAGTAATTGGGTTTAGTTCATAATTACGATGGACATTTTAGAAGGTAAATTCCTATACAAGCAATTTTATACTATGAAATTCAACAGTCTTTGATCCACAAAATGTTGGCGGATCCCTATTTTTTGTTGTTGTATTTATGGGTTTAACCCATGTTATTTGTTATAAGATCCATTTTTTTATTCTTGCCCAATGGGCTAGTAGCTTAAAATCATTAGAATAGGAGGTATTGGAAAGAATTTAAATTCTCATTCCCCAATATCGCTTATACAAACAAAATAATTGAAGAAATAACTCTAGCTCAAAGTGGTATTTTAGCCCCAAACCTTAAAATGATATGACAAAATTGTATATTTAAAGATTATAGCCGTGCGGCTATACTGGCCAAATATATTAGAATATTTTAACAGTATAGCCGTGCGGCTATACGCTTGAAATATTAATATATTCGAATATTTGAAATGTATAGCCGCGCGGCTATACTCTTTAAATATATTCGAAACAAACACAAAGCTTGCACTCGCAGAGGACGGAGGTTACAGTCGAAGTCACAGCCATTTCGCTTCTCCATAGACTCAAGCTTATATTCTAAAAAAGACCCAACCCGCCTAGACGCCCCCAGCCGCCTAGCCGCCGGCCTAGGCCGATTTTTCGTACACTGCGATTGACTAAAAGTCTGAAACCCGAAATTGAAAAAATTTAGCTGCAAATTTGAGCTTGAGATTGAGATTGGGAAGCCGAAGCAGTGAAGCAAAAGTGAAGTCCATAGAAGAAGAGATCATGAGACTCTTAATTCATCTAATTCCATTCCTCTCCCTGTTTCCTGCCTTATTCTCTTCTCTCTAGGCTCTCTCTCAAACGACATGTTCACCTCACCACACCAACGACAACTACGGCAATTCCTCCCTCTGCCAACTCCACCTTATTCTCTTCTCTCTTCGCTTGACGGCATGGCGCAGAAGAAAAAAATAAAAAAATTTCTGACTTGGTGTCTGTCTTCAGTGGAAGGAAATGATGAAGCTATCCTATCATGGAGTTTCTGTGGTCTTGCCAATAACAAGGTTCGGTTTTTAGGCCCCAATCTCAAATTCTGACTATTTATTTCTGGTTTGGTTAAGCAATAGATTGATTGGTTTGGTTCTTCTTGCTTGAAACTTGATAAATCTTTATGCATTCAATATTCATCCATTGATGGTTCTTCTTGGTTGGACTGCTTTTCATTCTTTGGATATTGCATTTCTGTTATAGATTTTGACATTTGATTGTGAACTCCACCTCAACTCCAAAGAAAACAAATTAAAAAAATTAGAGGGTGCATTTGCTAACGAATGGGTTGGGAATCTCTTAATTATATTTAATTTTTCAAACTAACTTCAAAAGCACCATATTAACACATGAAATATCATTTATCGAGCCTCCATTAGTGTAAAAGGACTGTGACTTCATTAGCTGAAAATGCTTTAGAAGAAGGATTGACCTC